GTTTTCTTGTTTATTTTTTATTAATTTTATTTAATTAGTAATTTAAGCTTTAATAGCTTATTATGGGCTTTTAGGCTTAAGTTGTCCATTGGAGTTTTCAAATTAGGGTTTTCTAAAGAGCCCTTGTATGATTCAATTTTTAACTAGAGTCAAAATCTTTTCTTATAAATACTTTTCTATTGAATGCAGAAAAAAAATAGAAGAATTGACCTCACACCCTTGCTCACATGTTTCATTTAATATAGTGCCACTCATATTTATTACACACTTTAAGTACTAGTTCAAATTCAATTTGGTGAAGTTCTATGTGAGAAACAATGGGAGATAACAATTATAGTGGAACCAAACGTTGTTATGAAAGATGAGACATGATAAAATAAGATAAATAAGATGAGATGAGATAGAGCTCATGCATAAGGCCATCAAAATTTAGAAAGGGTTTAAGGCAAAACGATCATAACTGTCAACTTCTAATTGAAGACTCCAAATGAAAGGAATACTCCTTCTTGACGTCTGAACAAGTAAGCTATGATCCTTAAAGATAATGAGGAATATGATAGTGAGCATATGAGCTATGAGGATGAATATAAAGGCATGCCTTATTTAAGTGATGCATATGACCCTCAAGAAGGTGTATCAACTAGTGAATCTTTGGTTACCATACTTTTTCTACAAGTGATACTTGATTCTTTGGTTACCATACTTTTTCTACAAGTGAAACTTCAAGCAGATAAAGAGCAAAAATTCAAGAGAAAGAGAAGTTCAAAAACTAGCTCAAATTCAAGGAGATTGAATCATTGGCTACTATTGCCCTTGATAATGATCTTAAAGTTGAATCAACAAAAGAGGAAGAAAAGTTATACGTTGAAAATCATGATGACATATGCAGAAGACTCTCTTATTCCTAGTACCATATAGGTGATTCAAGAAAATCCTTTCAAGCTAGAGGAGAAAAGTGAACATTTGAGGGAGAAAGAAAACGAGAGAGAGCAAATAAAGAAAAAGAGCCAAAGGCAGAAAGAGAACAAAAGAGAGAGAAAATTGATAATGAGGCTCAGGGTATACATGGAGAGAAAAGTACAACTTTGAGTGTTAGTTGAAAAAAAAGGAGAGGGTGAGAGAGTTTAGTTTTATCTACTAACATTCTTAATCATTCTTTTTAAGTTATGTCAATTCTTTATTGCAAGGATTTGATGATGTATCAATGGAAGCAGATAATTAACATGCAAGCTCATTATCTGAATATCCTCAAGGGTTGAGAAACAACTCTTCTTCAAGGAGAGGAAAATGAAGTAATCCTATATGGTGACCCATTTAAAATCCTAGATGGCATCCAAGATGGTATTCTATGTGGCAATCAAGTTTTAAATATTTTACAATTTTAGTTTTTATCAAATTTATTTGAATTATTTATTTAGGTTTCTTTTAAATTTTTAAAAAGATATTTCAATCACTATTTTTCGTCATATAATATAAAATATAGAAGTTTGAAAGATTATATAAATTATTTAAATTTATAATATAAAATTTATAAACACATTTTTTTAACAAACATTTATAAACACATTTAGTTAAACATATATATGTTTAAAAAGTTAATTACATCTTCAATGAAAATTTTTATATAATTGAAAATTATTTAAGCTGTTATCCCATTTTGCTAAAAACATTAATCAAATAACTACTTTTGAAAAGAAAAAAAATAAAAGAAACAAAAGAAAACTGTTAAATTCTTTTCTTTTCCCTTACTGAATGAAATTCTTGTAATCACAAAAATCGTAATATAATTTAGAGATTTATTAAAATGAGGAGTAAATTAAAAAATAAAATTTGTTTTAATATAAGTTTTAATTTAAAAAATAAGTTTTTAGAAAGGAGGTCTATATTTTTTTTGATAAAAAGATCAAATATATTCAAAAAGGTAAAAAGATAATTTACTATAGCATAAGTCTCTAAGCCAAGCCGAGATGAGATAAACTAAATGTAGAAGTAACTAAAGAAACAAAAGCAAAACAAGAAATCAAGAAATATGCTTATGAGTCGTTGGAAAACAATACTGCTCGCCTAGATAAATGTGGCAATGATTTAATGCCGCAAGTGGATAGGTCTTGACCTGGACAGTTGTGGAGAGGTTTGTGGAATAGTTGGGAGAAAGTCCAAGCCGAGGTAGAATGCACAACTAACCATGCAAATGTAGTTGGCATTACGTAGAAACCAAAGAAGCATGGTATATTTATATTAAAATCTGCTTATGAGTTGTTGGAGAACAATACCGATCGCCCAGATCTAATGTGGGCTAAGATTTGGAAACTTCAAGTGCCAAGCAGTGTAGAATGTTTCTCTGGCTCACGAGTCATGACTGCATCCTCACTAATAAATCACTCTGTGACGGGCACTTGAGCAACCAGCTGTGGTGCAGTTGCTGCCCAGGGGTAGTGGAAGATACTCTTCATGTGATAAGATAATGTCTTGAAGCAAGGAAGTGTGGATGAGATTGATACACCCTGCTCAAATATGAGATTTCTTCTTGGGAGATTTGCATGTGTAAACTAAATTTAAGGTTGAGGATGGAGGGTAGCATGGCTAAGTGGGGTGATTTGTTTGTTGTAGTTTGTTGGGCAATATGGTAACGTAGAAATGAGAGTGTTTGAAGAACGGATATTTCTGCCAAATAGTGTCAATGTGTCATAGCCCTGGAAGAACGACTCTTCAGCTTTCATGAATAGGGAGAATCAGCGTCTACAACAAACTTATTTGCCTGGCATTTGTCCCTTGCAGGAAGAAGCCTCAACCACCTCGATAGAAGATGACCTCTCGGTCTATGTTGATGGGGCCTTTGCTTGGTCTTCAGGCTCAGCAAGAAGTGGAGGGATTGTTAAGGATGCTAGAGGGAAAGCAATTGAACTGTTCATACTCCGACTTGATAGGGGTGACAGCTTGATGGTAGAGCTGTGGGCTTGTTACATAGGGCTGAAATGAGCTTGGGATATCAAATTGAAGCATTAAGGCTGTATAGTGATTGCCAGGAGGCTCTATCTTTGATAAAAGCAATTGACTATGATCTTCATGAGGCACAGGAGCTCATTGCTATGATACGGCAGTTGATACGAGGAGTTTTGCACGTTGAGCTTGTGTTTGTGGGGAGGAAGATGAATACAAAAGTTGATGGGCTTGCGAAAAAATGTCTACCCCGGGGGGCTTCACATTGTGGCTAGCGACTCTCTCCCTTTGATTTTGATAGCCAGTTAGTCTCTTTGTTTTTGTTTTTCTGTTTTTTGGCCTTTTCCTTTGTATAAAACAAAAAAGAAATGAAGAAATCTATATCGTAAGTAAAAACATTTAGGATTAAAGATCTTTGCTAAAGAGCCTTCAAAAGCTTCTAATTATGGCAAATTATATAAAGAGGGCATAATCTGGTGGAAATTGACAAATTGATATTGATAACTCAAAAAAGCAAAGTAGGTAAGTAAGATCAAAGTTTTAGATATGTTAAAGTTGATTTTTGTCAAAGAAAATATTGCACCTTTTGTGAGTTATGCCAAATTGAAACTTGACAAAAGTTGAGCCTCTTATATTTATACTTTTTAATCCAAATCTTACATACCTCACAACTAAGAAGATAGAGGTAGGTTAGCAGTTTCATTTCTTGAAGAAAGACATTGATACAGCCACAAGGTACAAGACCATAAGCAAACATTAGCTAAATAGTGAACAAAATCAACAAAATCGTTTATTATCTTATTAGGAAGGGAAGTGACTCCTTTGTGAAAGACTTCATTCCTTTTTGCTAGATCAAATTTAGTAAATTAATAATTTTGCAAAAGGGTTAAAGTTCATTTTTATTTTCAAATTGTTTTTGAAGAGCGTTGGGCACCTCATATTGATAAGTGGGACAATGTCTTCACTAAACAATTTTTTGAGGAGCCAAAAAAAAAAATTCATTAGTTACTTGTTAACTTTGCCTTTTTTTTGTTAAAATGACATGTGCGTAGGACTCACGTTCAGTGACAAGTAAAACTTTGACTATATCTTTTAATACTAAATTATTCTGAACTCTTTTTATAGGAGCGTTAGTACACTTTGAATTAAAATCTTTTTTTAAAGTGTTGGGTACCTTGAAGTTTGGTTAAAATAAAATTTAATAAATATTATTAAAATATTAAATATTTTAATATTTAATAATTTAAATTTTTTTGGTAATTAATAATTTAAATATTATTATTTTTAAATATTCATTCAAAATTTATAAAATATTTTTTAAATATTAACCTCTCAAACTAGCTTTTCAAAAAATTATAAATCACTTGTAATTTTTTATATATCAATCATATTTTTAATATTAATTAAGTTTCTTAAATTTTTTAGGCTATCTTCTATTATTTTTTGTCAATTAATGGTTTGCTTTCAAAATATTACACTACACAAATTTAATACTCTCTACACTTTACAATAGTACAGGTAAAATTATAAATATGATAGAGCAAAACTAACATGCTAACAAAAATGTCTATTTGAAAAATATTACTTGTCTCATTAATATGTTATGAAAAGCACTAATTAACAAAAGAATGCTGAAGAGATGAAGGGAAAAAATCTCTTCATTAATTTGTATGTTCATTTCATCTGTTAATTTAAAAGTTCATCCTCTTCATTTTTTATACAAAGTTACAAAATATTAAAATATTAAATTTGGGTGGTTGCACACATCATTACATGTAGGCCTCATATATATGCTCTTCAAAGAAATAATTTAAAAAAAATTATCTCACATATTAATATAGAATATTTAAACGGTGCTCAAGAAAAGTTAAAAAATAAAATTGAACTTTATCCCTTTGCAAAATGACATCAATTTATCCTTTCTTGTATAAATAATGTACTAAATGTAGCACAAAACGGAGGTCTCTATACCTAAGGCAAGCTAAAATGGTAGCAAGAATATTTTACTCAAAATTTTAACGATATTAGAGAACAAAAGTATACTTTTAGCGATAAAATCATGAAAAGAAAATGAGAGAAATAGATTGAGCCCTATCTCCGGGTTCGTTTGCCAGCCAGCGAAGTCACCTTGGTGGTGGGGTTGTTGTGAGCGATCTTCTGCCTGTAGGAGATCAGGTAGTGCTCGTGTCTCCAAATCCAATGCACTGTACTGTACTGCTGAATCGAGAGAACAACATGCATTGTAAGTTAGACGTTTGAGATTCAGAGAAATTAATTTTCTCGAAATTCAGAGCATTACGATCCTTACCATATCTCAATTCTGATTTCTGAGTGTAAATACCCTTTTTGTCTCCCTCTCGAGTAATCATCGTCAAACGCTAGTGTAGTGATAGGAGTGAATTTGAATAGAAATTTGAAGAATTGGGAGGGAAAATGGCCGCGAGGCAAATGGAAGAGGTACAGAAGAAATTGACGATGCTGAATTACCCCAGAGCCAATGCTCCTGCTCAGTCCCTCCTTTTTGCTGGGATGGAGCGTTATGCCTTGTTGGAGTGGCTCTTCTCCCGGCTGTTAGGTGATAAGTCACCCTTCTCTCAACAAAACTTACAAGGGGATGTTCTGGTTCGTGATGACGAGACTGCTCGTATTCAGTATTTGGCTGAGATAGCCAAGTTTTTAGGTATCACGACTACCATAGATACGGAAGCCATTCAAGTTAGTCCTTTTCTTTTACTGTATTGTTAATTTACTTTATACATTGCTGCCTCACGCAAATTTTGCGGTTTAACTCTTTTAAATGCAATGAAATAGTGAACATGTTAACTTTAAAGTTCATTCATGTTTAATTCACTATGCAATTGTGCATCATACGGATAATTATTTATGGGACGTTGTGACTATCCTCAAATCTGGCACATATATAACAGGGACGTGGAAGCTATGAAGACCGGACTGAAATGCTTCGACTTATTGTTGATCTGGTGGAAGCTAGCATTTATGCTGATACTCCAGAATGGAGGTTGTCTACTGTCTTATGTCCTAACGTTAGTGCTTATTTGACATGTGGAACTGATATAATATTCGTTTGCATTCTGATTTTGTAGTGTGGACGACCAAGTAGCTAAAGACATTCAATTGATAGACTGCATTGCTGAAAAGCAAGCTCAAATTTTTTCTGAGGAATGCAAATTGTTTCCTGCTGATGTTCAGATTCAATCCATTTATCCATTGTAAAGTTATATTATTCCCCTTTTTCCCTTCCTATTGATTGTTGCCTTTGCATTCTGTGATGATCCCATAGCAACATGTCTTCTTCTTCTTTAATAGAAAACGTAACTGACATTACCTCAAAAAATAGTACACATCAATTGTCTCTAGTATTCCTATCATCATACACCACCTCAAAAATATGAGGTGGGGGTTGATCAAAGGACCGAAATGAGCTATCTAAATCAAAAGCTACTTTGGCTAAATAGTCAGCAGCCGAATTTCCATTCCTACTGATGAAATAAGCAAAAAACATTCCACTCCCTCCTAATAATTGTTCTAGTGTCTTCGATCACATCCTTGATAGGGTGGCTGTCCATAGAATCTTGGTTCAACTAGTTAAAAGCTTGAACACAATTGGCGGTAACTTGAACATATCTAATTCCTTTCTGCCAGCACCATGGCTTTATGTCACAGTGATGATGGATATGTAATTCTTGAGTTAATTGCTCTTCGCGGATGATATAGTTCTTATAGCAGAGACAAGAGAAGAGGTTAATTGCAAACTTGAGTTATGGAGGAAGACATTGGAGTCGAAAGGTTTTCGTCTGAGTAGAAGTAAGACGGAATATTTATATTGTAAATTTGGTAAAGGACTATTCGAAAATAATTTGGAAGTGAAATTGGGAGATCAAATTATACCTCAAGTGGAAAAGTTTAGATATTTGGGAGCCATTATTCAAAATGATGGCGAAATCAGTGGAGATATTTCACATAGAATTCAAGCTGGGTGGTTTAATTGGAGAAAAGCTAAAGGAGTTATTTGTGACCGTAAGGTGCCTAATAAACTTAAAGGAAAGTTTTATCGTACTGCTATCAGACCGGCAATGTTATATAGTAGTGAATGCTGGGCTCTAACGGGACAGCAAGAGCATAAAGTTGGAGTAGCAGAGATGAGAATGTTACGATGGATGTGCGGACATACACGTAAAGATAAAATTCGAAATGAGCACATACGTGAAAAAGTGAGGGTGGCACCTATTGAGGAAAAAATGGTAGAAAATCGGTTGAGATGGTTTGGGCATGTACAAAGAAGACCAAGGGAGGCACCAGTGAGAAGAGTGGAACATATAACTTTGAGTCCGATTAAGAGAGGTAAAGGAAGGCCTAAGAGAACACTCTTGGAAGTTGTTGAACGTGATCTCTTGATTAATAATATTTCTAAAAGCTTAATAAATAATAGAGCACAATGGCGTCTTGCAATCCATGTAGCCGACCCCACCTAGTGGGATAAAGGCTTGTTGTTGTTGTTGTTGTTGTTGATGATGGATATGTAATTCTATCTGACAGGCCGACTATATTCACATGTTTTGGTTGCAAAGTGTTTAGCACACTAGTAAATCCTACTTCCTACAATTTGGTCCAAAATGTCATTGCAAATTTACATTATGGTGTTCTTAGAATTAGCGTATGTTCAATGGCACTGGTGGTATCATTTTTATACCAAATTGTATCAGATAAAATGTGTACAATATCATGACATGTTATTTACATAGTTTCCTTTGTTTAAAGCATATATCTTAAGTTCCTGTAATGTTACAAGTGCTGCTGAAATAATTTGTTGATATGTTGCAGTAGTAAGCAACCAAGCTTTATTTTGTTGAATTTTATCAAGAGATGTTAAGAATCTAAGACTTGTAAGCTAAGAAAAGAGTAACCCTTTTTAGTAAGAATTAAGATCTGAGGAAAGTTTTGTAGGTTTAGTAAATAGTTGGCTGTGGTGCACTCAGAGTGAGGTTATAAGTGTTGTTAATGTAAATTGAGGATTAGAGTTAATTTTATACATGCAGTATTGAGTTCATAGGTATCGTCATTGAGTTTTTCAGTTAATATATTTTGGTTTGTTCCTTCTGTACCCCCTAACTCTTGAACTCTATTTTCTTAACAAATTTAAAGGGATAAGCCGGAGTCATAAAACCATTGGTATATTTCGTTAATCATCATCACAATTTCTTCCAATGGTGGGAGAATGGTCAAAGCTAACAACAAGTGCTGTTTCATATACTGCTTAAATTTTACCCTTATATGCCCCCCAAAAAATCTCCATCTAAGGAATGGTGATTTTGTACCTACATGATTCTGAAAATACTTAACAGTTTGTTACTCGTTGACTTATGTTCTGTGAAGAGATGCCTTTAGTAACAGAAATTGCATTAGTATAAACGTTGAGCAAACAGATCATTGTATTAAAATTCCACAAAACCATTAATGAAATTATAAATATACACGTCATGAAATTCATTTGTAAAATTCAAAATTTGATGTACAAATTTGTAATGAAACTGCTGTACAGAAATCAAACTTGCTTCCTTTTTGAAGTTAGTTGTTGCCTTGTAGTTTACTAAAGTCACTTTTGAATAAGCATCAAATAAATAAAGCCCTTGAGAATGATGTTATCTTTTATGGGGATTCATTTGGATTTTTTTAAGAATATTTTGCCTTCTTGTCTTATTTATTAAAAAAAAAATGGTCGTTCTAACAGTTTTACCTCAACTACTGACTTTCGCTCATTAATTGATATAAATGCACTTGAAATTGAATGTTCCTTAGATGAAATGAAATTATCTTGCGGATGTAAACTAACATTTCTCATGGGATTTAGCAAGTAATTCTGCTTATTTAATCGAAGTTCATTTGCAGACCAGATGTTTCTGAGCTGGAGGCAAAGCTTTCTGAACAATCAAAAATATTATTGAATCTTCAGCAGAAAGTTGATGATTTGGCATCAAAGGTTTATTACTAAGCTTATTAATCTCCTTTCTGTCTTCTTTATCATTTTCTTTGTCTAAGAAAGAGATCACATTAAGAAGGGGGGGAAATTAGTATAAATGAAGAGGAAAGGGTCGTCCTCCCAATATAAATGACCAAGGTTGAAACATGACAGCCAAAGTAACTAGAACATGAAAACTGCTCTACTAGGAGATTAAGCAAGGAAGTGAAAATAGGATTTTGAAGCTTATACACTTGAAGTATTTGATGTCTGAACTCTCCTATCCTTGGTTGGGCATCCACAAATAGGTTCAAGAAGAATATTAAGGCATTCAAAATCATTTACATCCGCATCAATAAGATATCTTAGATAGTGAAAATCTCAAGAAATTATATTCCCCTAAATTGAGCAAAAGCTTCACATTGGGGCATTATGCTGAGAGGAGAGGAGATAAATAGTAAGGAAAGCTTGAAAATAGGAAATTCCCTGGCCACAAATTCTCACAAAACCTGATATGGCAGCCGTTGCAAACACTCAAAGAAACCAAAGATCATCTATGAGAACTGTGAGCCTGAGAAAAATCATTTTGTTGACATTCTATTCATTATAATTCAAACCGTATTTGCTCTTGATATATTGATGCCATCATTAAGTAGTCTCTAGAGGAAAACAGTACAGTCATCTAACTAGATGAATGAAATCCACTGAGGGCCGTGACTCCTAAGCTTTTCTTCTTAAATTTGTTGAGAAAGTATACAGAGAGCAATAGTTAGGGAGAAAAGAAAGTAACAATGTCCATAATAAAATTAGGTCTAGGGATAATAAAACTTTCAATCCTAATCTCTCAATTTTGTTTCAATTATTGATTTCATCTTTCAAGTTTAATTTTTATCAATTTGGTCTCTTATGTTTTCTTAAATTATCTTGTTAATCCTTTAAGTTTTAAAACACAAATTGACTCTCGAATTAATCTAATGTGTAAAGTATATTAATAACTTGATATGTATATGTAGTCAATCGAGAACAAATTTGCTCTCAACAATGACAACAAGCGTTATCTCACTTGATAGGGGTCGGCTACATGAATTGCACGATGCCATCATACTCTATTTTCAACCAATATTTGGTAATTTTATTAAATAAGAGGTCTTGTTGAACAACTTATTCAACCCAGTTTCATTTTTATCTATCTAATTCCTTATGCTGCATTTTGTTCTTTTATTTTTTTAAAATTTCCAACTTGTTTTTTTCCTTACATAAATAATTACACTTCTTTCATTAATTTGTGTGGCTGCCTGCTGCCATCAATATTCCCTTATTCATATCAGTAGATTTTAACAGCACTACCTCCTTTTTAAACAATAAGGACCAAATTGATAAGTGAAACAGATTTAAGGGATCAAATTGATAAAAATTAAACTTTGGCAACTAAATCAATAACTGAAACAAACTTAAGGGACTGAAAGTTTCATTATCTTTAAATATTAATTAAAAATTTAATGTTGTGTTTGTAGAAATGAGCTAATAGAACTTTGAATTCTCGTTATACTCATATTATAACCATACAAAGCTTATACTTGATGCTATATGTTCTCTAAATGTACCTATTTATTTTCCGAACCTACAAGACTTGGTTAATTTTATATATAATAGAACTGTGTCTCTGCTTTCCCTGTTGCAGGTCCAATGCAAATTTACGTTTCTTTTTTTTTTTTTTGGGTTGAACGCCAATTGACATTTCTATTTAAACTCTTAAAGGGAAAAACTTTGCAAATTTGGAACTACAGAGCAACTTTGTTTTAAATAAATGACAAAGTCTTCTGTAGTTTTTTATTGCTTTAATCTATATTGCTTAGTTGCATTTGTTATTTATTTGTAATTTGAAATATTTTTAAAACCCTTATTTTATCATCCCTACTTATCAAATAGTGAACTAGGAAACATTAGTGTCAATATTTTTTGAGTGTAGCTTCAATTTCAATTTGCTTATTTTGATGCGATTGCTGTTTATAATGTGCGTAGCATGCTTACAATCCAGACGAGGAGTACACTGAGGTTGAAGCCCAACTGAGGGCACATTTGGAATCTTTCCTGGAAACTGCGAGGACGTTCAACATGATTTACACAAAGGTCTGACCAGCCTTTCTATTATTTGTTACAGACTTTTGAAAAAAAGTATGCGTATATATCTGATTTCTTTGAAACCTAGCCAAATTAATTCCTATCATGCGTTATATTTACAGAAAACAATCATGGAAATGGATTGAACCATCACCACTTGAGAATTATAAAGTTTTGGTTCAATTGGTCAAGGCAATAATATGCTTCTATCTAGCTCGTAAAGATTGTCTAATGTCTAATGTACCATACTGAAATAGCTCCAACATAGGATCTATAAGGATGGTATATCATTTAAGGCTAGAAATTGCAAAGAATAGGATGGCCTAGCTGTCTGATTGGGATCTGTTAAACCTGTGCCATTAATTGAAGCATGGCCTGGTCATTGGTTAATCTTGTAATAAATTATTGTTCATAATTTGACAAGGTATCTGGGTTTAGGTGCTAGAATTTGAGACATAATATAGAAATCAGAGTACGTTAAGAAAACACTAGATGACAGAGAGAAACTTAAATGATTTTTTGTATTATTTCTCTATGTATGTCTCATCTATAGACTCTGGACTCAGTATATAATCTTGTAACGTCTCTAACAGACTACAAAGAACATGATAACTAACAATTGACTTCACTGATTTGCCCCGTCAACATGAGCCTTGTCCTGAACTGAGCAAAGCTTGCATTGGTATTAGCTTTAGTCAGGATATCGGCAACTTGTTCTTATGCTGGCACATGAACTGCTCTGATTTCCTTTTGATGATTCCGAAATAGAGTAAAAATCTAGCTCAATATGTTTGATCCTCCAACATAATACTGGGTTCGCAAATAAAGGCACAGTACACAGATTGCCACAATGAATCACCGGTACTGTGGCATGCTTCAGGTGTGCAGTGGGCGGTTTGACAGCGTGTCCAGAGATATAAGCCTCTTCTCCACGTTCATGGATGAACATGACGAAGCTTTGGGACCATTGAAGATAGTTATCACCTTCTAGCTTGTGACTGGGGATTAATGAAGAGAGATCGGTAAATTGGCTAATGGTGTTGAGGAGTTTTGGGTGTGTTTCAGTGTTCATGATTGTGATATCAATGAATTGGATCGTGGTGCACTGGTGCCATGAAGAAATCAGGCAATCAGCTGAGTTGTAATTTCTTTCAGTCCGAGTTAATTTTATTTAGCCGATAGTTTGGCAGTTGTAAGTGGAGGCAACAAGCTTGCCTTCATAGCTAAGAAATAAATCTAGGGTCAAAACTAATTATATCCTAAAAGATAGACAGGATAATCTAAAAAAGGAAAATAAATCAGAAGAACGTAATACTACATAAATAAGTAAATGGAAACAATTTAAAAGAAAAATTGTAGATCAATTGATAGAACAATGGATCTTCAACAGAATTTTGTCCATTCTTCATTAATCAGACAGTTAACAAATAGGAGTCTGCACTGACTTTGAATCTGCTATACAAGCTCTACAGTTGCTAGAACAATGGATCTTCAACAGAATTTTGTCCATTCTTCATTAATCAGACAGTTAATAAATAGGAATCTGCACTGACTTTGAATCTGCCATACAAGTTTTAGCTAGTAAATCTTCAATTGTGGGCAAAATTCAACTTCTGTCCTTTCAGAATCTTTGTAAACCCGTATCATCGCCTGTGCATGTTGCAAATTTTTCTTCAGTGTTAACTCTATCAATTAATTATCTTTTGCCATTAAAACATCCAAAACTTGTGCATTCATGATTGTCTAGCAATTGCAATTATAAATACATCAAATTTGGACACCTGCTTAAGCTGATAAAATATTCATTTTTATGTAGGAAATTCGCCCATGGACGCACATGATGGAGGTGCCCCAACTACATGGGTTTGGACCAGCTGCCAATCGTTTACTGGAGGCCTATAAGATGCTTTTGAAGGTAAGAAGACCAACTTCCTAAAGTTTGGTCTTAGATGTGTTCTCATAAAATCCTGAAATGCTGTTATTACTTGTTAGAATCCAAAATGATGCTTGACAAAATCCTGTATGATTTATTTTAGTTACGTGTATATTGACCCAAAAAAAAAAGCACCTTTTAAGTTTTAATTCTATTAATTCCTCAGATTTTATTTGTATGCATTTTGGATTACATTGCCATACTTGAGTCTTGAGTATTCGTAACTTTTCTTCCTCTTCAACCTTACATTGCTCCTACTCTGGGTGAATTCACTCAGTTTTGTAACTTGACTATATCATGCACTCTCCCTCCATCCTTTTAGATGTTGAGAAAATGATAATCTATATGCTATGCAACACCAATATGGATATAATAGAGCCTAATACATATCTCATATCCCCCTGTGTGTGCGTGTGTGTAGTTCCCATATGCCTTAACGATATTCAATGTTGCGTAGTCTAGTCAATGTACTGGCAGTACGTTCTGCTTGTTGACTAGGCCCCCAACCAGGAAGTTTTACTAGGTCAAGGAAGAATTTTGACCTCTTGAATATCATTTTGGGCAAATAGTACTTATGCTTGCGGGGTAAAATTACTGAAGGTTTCTAACAATGTTTCTCCCTGTCTCCTGGTGCTATGTTATTCATGAACTGGGTAGAGTCTTATTTTATGTTTTTTTAACTTTCCATTCTTGACAGTTTCTGAGCAGCCTGAGGAATCTTAGAGACTCACATGCAGCTCTTGCTGTTGGATCTTCTGAGACAACCGGAGAGCCTTCTTCTGTTACAAGAATAATATCTGAATGTGAATCTGCATTAACAGTACTAAATCGGGATCTTGGAATTCTCTCAGCTTCCATTGATCGTGAACGTGGAGGAAAGATGAGTATGTGACGAAGCAGTGCGAGATATGAGCGATCAAGCAGCCTGGAAGTGAGATTCAACTTCGGAATATTTTTTTATGTGACATAGTAAATTGATTCGGTTGGCTGGACTCATTGTCTTGTGACAATAGCATGCAAGCCTTGTATCACTACTATGAGGGTCTAAATATCAATTTGCTGTTTGAAAAGTTATGTCTGATGATTATTCTATGCTTGAATGCTTGATGCTGCTGCTGCTCATGAGTCATGGGGAACTACTACCGCTCGTTTGCAACAAAATACCGTTGTTTAAAAATTCTTGGTTTATCGAGTTTAATGATCATAATTTAAAAGAAAAAGTTGACATGAATTGGTTTTTGGTTTATTGTAGCCTTGTAAGCGTGGGGAAATGACATTAGGTCTCAAAAGATTAGATTAATAATGGTTAAGTCTTAAAAAAAGATTGCTAAAATATGAGTTGCAAATGAGTGATGGTTATAAATCAGGTATTTAAATTTTATGACAAAATGATTGAAATATCCCTTGTATTAATTTTAATGGCAAAATGGCCTCAATAAATTAAAACGCTTGCCACTAAGTAGATGTGATACATATAATAGTGGTCTGAGTTTCTTAAACATTATTCTATAGTTTGGAAGTGTGCATGATGAGTATCTCTGGGAAAAGAACAATTGCATAAATATGTTGAGAGATTAATCTCATAGTTGTTAGTGGTGGAATTACTTTAACTGGAAAAAAAAAAATTAAGGGCATGTTTAATTTCTATTCTCATTTTTTGCTTTAAAAAATTATTTTATAATATAGTTTTTAAATTTATTTTTAAGACAAAATAAAATAAAAATTTGTTTGGTTATGTCAATTAAAAAACAGTTTTAGAATTAAAAAAATGGAATCATAGTGATGATTATATATAATTAATGATAGTGATTAATAATAAAAATTGATCAAAGTAATTATAATTTCTAATAATCAAATGTGTATTTTAAAAATGAGAAAAATGAAATGAAAACAGTTTTGAAAAAAAATAAATGAAAAACACTTATCCAAACAAATTTTTAAATTCTTTTTATTTTTGAAAACAAAAAACAGTTTTTTAAAACAGAAAACAGACTCTGAAACACTTGAGTTGATTAACAAAGAAGTCAAGGTGATGGTGGAACAGGTTAAGGTTGTGGATGAATATGTCGAGGTTGCTGACAAATGAGAGAGCTCGTTGCTCGTATTGGGTTTTCTTCACGAGTTCTTCTATTCTTCTAACACTAGTCTGATTCATGCTCGTTTTCCATCTATTTCAATCATGATTGGGAGTGAAATGGTTGGTGCTATGATTTTTGACTGCTTTGGGTTCATATGTTGCTTGTCATCTTTAGTTACATGGGGTTGTCAGGAGAAGTCGAGAGGAGAGAACCAAAACTCAATTGTATGCGTTGTTTGTGGTTTGGGTTTGCGTTTCTTCGTTTGTTTCACAATTGGGTTTTCTTTCTATTTAATATTGCTCTACTAAGAAATTTTAGGTTTGTTTAGCTTTTGGATGTCAGTTTCATTGTGTTGTTAATATAAGTTCGGTTTGAAAAACTCCTACTGAGCTTTTGGAGATTTTGTTATAATGCCATAGAAAATAGGTTGATCCCATACCTTTCTTGGTTTTGTCTAAACGATAATTATCTGGTAATTATAGTAATTAGCTTGACCTTGGAAAATCATGCAGAAAAGATAATTCGAATCATGCTTGAAAACATTGTCTTCAAAAACTACTTTATTACACTGGTTAAATTGTGATGACTCCTCATGATTAAATAAAAGCTTGTTGAGGAAAAAATTTGTGCTATAATAGTAGGAATATAAAAGAATTAAAAAAGAATAAGAGAAGCTTTAAAACTTAAAAGTGGTGTACCAAACAACCGACGGGCACATATTTATATTAAAAAAATTCATGGGCAGTTTATTACAATTCATAATGGTCTTTAATATCCCTTAATGGCCACTTAGGAAAACCATTTCTAAATTATAATTAAAGGAAGTTAATGATGATTAAAATGCTCAACACCGCATCCAACTTGCACATGGGGGAAAAGGCTAAACTATATTGTCTTGCTCACTTATTTTCTTAATCCATTTACTTGCTCAAATGTGCATTCTCATTTGAGTACATAGATGCTAAGAATAACTCAAGTTGAAGGAATGTAAGTCTTCTTTTGACATACACAAACACAAAAGCTCCAGTAATCTCCCACATGTCAAAAGAAACATAATTATCTGAATTAAAAACAGCAATTAAGGCCAAATTCAAATGAGCTTGAAAAAATATAAGCCAGGCTTAACAAAATATTATTTTATTATTACTTTGGCCTATTTGGGCCCAAGCACCATAAGGAAAAAAAATTAAAAAAAATATATAATATATTAAATATTAATTAAGCTTTTAAGTTTTAGTTCATTTTAAATTAAGAAACCATATATTTGAATACATTATGATAGACATTTTCTTTAAAAATTTAAAAATGTTAACATTATTATATTACAAATATTTTTAATATTTTTAATTTATAACATATCTCAAAATAACATTAAATATATTTTAATCTTGATTTTTGAACTTTAACACTCAACTTTTTTTTTATAAAAAAATTGAGTCCTCTAAATTTTTATGTATCTTAAAAAGTATATTTTTATATTTTTGATAAAATTAAAAAAATGAAAATTTTTCAATTTGGATATTCATGCCAACCTGAAGAGTTTAAAGCCAGGCTCGACTATTTAAGTTAAGTTTGGGTTAGTTTGAATAAGCTCCAATCTACTTGAATTATTCGATCCAATCTGAGTTACAATTTACAACCATGAATATAACAATTTTGAATCTAGTGTCTTTTGGACTATGAACAAAAGCTAGACTAATACTACTTTAAACCAAATGGAATGCTTGCCTTAATGATTTCAAAACCTAAATTAGGACTGTACAAAGGACAGATCGGATAGGACTTCGCTCTAACTTGAAGTTTTGTCCTTTACATGAAAATGATTGAGTTACGCAACTTGTGATCTAATCTAATTTTGATATAACTTGAAAATTGAATAGGATTAGACTGGTCTAATAGGACTAAGAGACTAATTTCGATCTTGTCCAATATCTTACTTTGTTTTTTTTTCCTTTCTCATCTATGAGAGGCAGTAATTTATTTAAACCAAATAAATTCAATTAACATCATAACATTACCTATAGTCATATAAAAGTTATTACAACAACAACAACAACAATTATAAATCCATAACAATCTTCAACAACAACAAAAAGTATTTTAGTTGCAACATATATGATTCAAATCAAATAACCTTTAACATGTCTAAAGTCTATCACACCAAGTTAACACATTTCACCAATAAAAGGAGAAAATTAAGGTTAGTCAATGCTAGAATTTTACTCAATATTCATGACTTCACAAGTATAAAACATAAAATATTACTAATTATTATAAATTAACTTATTATTATAATAATTAGTAAATTAATTATAATTATGTTAAATAAATTTATAAGATTGAATCAGATCAAGTGGTCTAAATGCTCGATTTCTTATCCCATCTAACTCAAAAAAAAATCTAATTTTTATGGTCTTGAAAGACCAGTTTTTATCTAAGTTGGATCAAACTGGACAATACTAAAAGATTTTTACTCAGCCCTACTCCAAACAATCTTCCCTAATCAATAGCTTCCTACCCTAACAAAACCAACACTCTCCCTCCTTTCTCTGTTTTATTTTCCTCGTTTGACACTCACTATATGGTTTAAATCAAATTCCTTGCATTTGCCTTGATGGAGATTACCATGCACCACATCGGATGATGTAATGGACTCAATTTCAAATGTTCTCATCTCTAATTGGGCCCAAGTGGCCCAAAACCTTACCCAGTCCAAATCCAGTGTTTTCAATAAGTTTGATGAGCTTGTTAGTCATCCTTAAATATTTTTTACCATTAATTAATCTCAAAACACTATTCATCATATTTATTATAGGGTTAAAAGTTAAGATGTTACAATTTTGAAGCCTTGAATCCCTTCGTAACCTTTAGAATCTCTAAACCTTAGTAAAAAAGGAGGTTTTCTTTACAACTTGAAGTTGTTTTGGAATGACAGAGACTTTAAAAATTTCATTCAAAATTTTTATATACTAGTTTGCTTCTGATCGTGTCCACATGGATGTGACTCCCTTTGCCACGTCCATGCACAATGCACTCTAAACCTTATTTCTCTTCCTAAGATCCCCTAACCCATGTCAAGATATTTTTATAGTTCAAAATAAGTTTGAAGAACTTTCTTTTGGAAGAGTATGTTATAGATTGTATTATTATTTTTAAGGATCTTGAAATCGAACCCAACAAGTTCTTAGGGTTATTTGTACATTTTATGAGACTTTTTAAAAGAATGAAACTTATGTAATTAATGTTATATACTCAATATACTTATATCTACTTAATATATTTATATCTAATTAAATCCTAACAAGATGATCTTAATGTGTTAATAAAATTAATAACATAAATTTATTATAAATAAATAATAAAAAATATAATTTTAGATCCTTACACTTTTCTTGTATTTTGTTATTGATTCATATACATTTTTTTTTTTGTGTTTTAGGTCCAAATGCTTTTATGTTTTAGTATTTTAAGTCCCTCCATGAACAAACTTGAATGAACCTAAAACATTAAAAAATAAAATTATAGGAACCTAAAATATAAAAAAAAAGTATAAGGATCAAATAGTAAAACATGAGCAACATGTAGAGACTCAAAATTATATTTATTCATAAATAATTTATAAAATATTTACATATCTTGATTTAATTAAAAATGAGCAAATTAAATATATAAAAATAAATATATACTCTTTCTGTTTAAAAATATAAATTATTTTTAATCGAATCTTACTCTATAATAAAATAGTTATTTACTTTTAAATTAATTCTTTCTTTTTATTTTTACTTTTATTAAATATTATATAATAAATATAAAGTTATTATTAATAAAAATACTTTTAAAACAGGTAATAATTATATTTTAAAAAATTAAAAATATTTTATAGTTTTTAAATATTTAATTTTTTTAAAAAAATATTTTACGACAGTAAATTTTTCGTCTTAAGAATTAGAATATCTGTGTAAGACTTAAATGTGATCACGACAATAATAGCAACAGTGATTTTCCGGTAAAAAAAAGTAACGTGGGCCCACTTGTTTCCGTACACAAAGATCTAATTCCGCCGATCAAACACGAAAAATCTGGACCGTCCATTTGATAACCATTTTTTAACACTCATGTTCCAGCCATTTTGAAGCCGAATGCATACGTGGAAAACTAAGTTGTTCTTCAACAGCAGCTCCACGGTATGTACCCAGTTGTTCTCGGCTTTCGCCATCTTCTCTGTTCTTCTCCAGATTCTTCGTGCTTTTCTACATTTTTCTCCTCCTCCTCGTTCTCCTTCTCCATTGTAGCTTATTCTAGACTTTGAAGAGTATGGAATGAGAATATACTTGTATATTTCTACCAAAAATTTTACAGTCGATTATCTTTCTTCCAATGCACATTCGTGCATTCTAACTCGTTTGAATCTCAACTTCTATTTGAGACTTTGAAATTCATATTCAATTATCTATCTTCCAGCCGACATTGATGAGGTCAAAGTAGTATTTGAATCTCAACCCACCAACTTACTGATAAACATGATACATATTGGAATCAAGACGTTTAAAGTATTTTTTCACATACTTTACTTGGTGAATTTGATTGCAGAATCAGGAGGTTGCTGAAACTGAAGTCGAAGCCGGATTGAATTCAGTTAGAGCTCAGCCTTAACCAGCTGACATGGAGAGAGCCTCGTGTCCGGTTCTTCACACACTATCCGTTCCGCGCATTTTCAATAAAGATAACAGATGCTTCCTAGGTGCATCGACAAGCAATTTTCCACTGCTTCCTCAATATTCGTTCACCACCCTACCACCGTATTCCAATTTTCCTGGAAAAGTTGTGCGCTCCACTCGGCTCATCACTTCTTGCTCGCCATCTAGACCCCACTACCAGGACTCATCTCAAGAACTTGCCGTTCTCCTTGAAGTCGATGGGTAACTTGCCTTTTCTCCACCTTTTGATTTGAACCTGCGTACGTATTCGATGTTTGTTTGCTTCCGTCTTCTGTTAATCAGCCTCTGTTTTCATCTAGTAACGTGAATGTTTTCCTTTTTATTCGTATTCATCTTTGTTATTATAGGGTCCTTATGGATGCTTACCGTGTGGGCAATCGTCAAGCCTTCAATAAAGGTAAGATCGTACGGAATGTTTAAATACGTACTGCCAAGGGGGTTATTGTCATTGGTCTCATATCTATTTGAGATTGGACGCTCATGAATCTGACATGATTGTTCTCTTGGTGCATCAGCATTTCATAATCTTGGGCTTGATTGTGCAAACTGGACCGAACCTGTCTACTTAGATCTTGTAAGGTACGATTATGCATTCATATGTAGTGGGTATTTTGTGGCTATTTTATGGTTTATGTCAATTGGTCAACTTCCTGAAATACTGTAGTAGTTTATATAGGAATAGGTCATGACAAACTGGAGTCAACATTGTGAATATTTTTCACTCCTCTTATGGTCATAAGATTTGGAAATGCAATGAGTAATGCTTAGAGTTAAAAATATGAATTTCTGTCGCGGCTTTAAATTGTGTCCTAATAATTTTCCAGGAGAAGTGCCAGTGATGAGGAAAAGATGCTCTTTCTGTACTTTAACAGAGTACGTTCTTCTTTATCAGCTTATTTCTAACTCTCGGTAGTTTGCTTCATTGTAAATATTACTGAAGCGTGCTAATCTGTTATTATCTCTAATGCATAGATTGGATGGCCTACTTCATTACCCACAAGCGAGAAGGGAAAGTTTGTAAAAAGTGTTTTGCAGAAGAAGGTATCTTATTTATACTCTTAGAATGAATTGTAATAAATACTGAGCATTTATACTTTGGCAAATGAGGAATATGATGTATACTAGATGCTCTTAATTAAAGCAGACTGTGTTGTGGACACAATCTTCATAATTTATACCTGGCTCCTGAGTGCTTTTCTCTCATTACTCTCTTGTGGTAAATAACACAAAATAGCACAGACCACAAAACAGAATATCCATTCAGCCTCCCACATTTAACATTCACTGGAGTAGTCAATTAACTATCGAGTTTTGTAACATGGAAAAGTTTAGTCACCACTAATATTACTCCAAAAGATTTGATAGTTTCATTTAGGAGTTCAGGTCAATTTAAGAGCCTTCCAATTATGTCTCGCAGTAGGCTTTTATGTTAAGGAATGAGTTCTAACATTTTATACAAAATGGAATTTAGGGTTGATCAATTTGATATCCTTGATGATCTAAATCATGAAATGCAGCAGAATCAGCATCCAAATATTTGGGGTCTTGATATTTATGATTTATTGTGAGTATAGCTAAAGGTTTTAAGAAATCAGTGAGAAAATCTGAGGAGGTGGAGGAGGAGGATGAACACATGAAAAAGAAAAGGAAAAACATAACTTTGGTTCCCTGCATTTTGTCTGCGTTTTGTTATTGGTCCCTACACTTAAAAAACAGAAATGTAGGAACCTAGAACATCGGAAAAAAGTGCAGGGATCAATAGCAAAATACGAGTAAAGTACAGGGACCTAGAACATCAGAAAAAAAGTGCAAGGACCAATAGTAAAATACGAGCAAAGTATAAGGACCTAAAGTTATGTTTTCTCAAAAGAAAAAGAAAACTAACTTGGCTCTTACAAACCTCCATTCTCAGTCTCATTGACTTAAGTAAGAATGCTATATTTTAATGAGTCCAAAGATAATAATATAGAGAAAAAAGCAAGATTCATTAGTGCTAAAGTTTAGATTGGTTTCTTGAACTTGAAAATGCCTGCAACATAAGTGAACTCAATAATCTCATGATTTTGTTTCCCCAAAAAAGAAAAATAATGGAGTAATTTCTTTCTTAATATTAAAGTGCTTCTTGGGAATAGAATCATTTAGGCTTTTGAGCTAAATATCATCTTCCTGCACTGGAGAAAATATTTTTCGATCTGCTTCTTTTAAGAGGCGTTAAGATTATATGAAGAAACCTATTTAACTCTACTGGTTATTGGCAGGAGAAGGCATTGGAAGAGTTTGTGATGTCAAAGAATCTACCTTTACGACCAGGGGTTGACCAGTACGTTATCTTACACTGATTAAATATGAATGGGCAAGTCATATATGTTACATTTGTAGAGCAGAAGTCATTGCAATCATCTTATTCACAATGAGTAGTACAACAGAGTATATAGAACAGCTGGAGAAGACTAATCCCATGAAAATTGAAGAATCAGGAAAAATAATAACCTTTGATACCCATTAATCTACCCATGATATTCTTTCCTATATTAAGAAATAATATAAAATAAAAAAATTTCCTATTTACAATATAAGTAGATCAGTCAACTACACTCTCCCTTAAATTGGATCATAGATGCTAATCATGTCCAACTTGCTTAAACAACTCTCAAATGTAGGTCCATGTGATCCCTTGGCCAGCAGAGCTTGGAGTTTTGTAGGAATATATGTTAAACATGCAATTCCTTCCTCCACTTTTTCTCCAATAAAATGTCTATCCAGCTCCACATGTTTTGTCCATTTGTGTTGAATAGGATTTAGTGCCATGCTAATGGCAGCTTTAGTGTCACAATATAGTTTCAATGGCATATCCTCAACATTTCATCATTGTCCAATTGCTAGTATTCTTTACTGGATTTTTTATTATTTAAGAAGGGAAACTTTTGATTTGCTTGTATTTCCTTGCTACCTTTATTAAATTTTGGTATAAGAAGTAGAATTGATTCATTTGACATTTTTCTTCTAAATCTACTTGTTAGTATCTCTATAAATTTTAAAGTAGAAGGGATGGGAACCATTGCCAATTTTATTTTCAAGAAAATGTTCCCTCTGATGATAAAACTTTTGTTTGGCCGAAGCTAGTGAATAATAGTTACCGATATAATTAATTTTCTTATTCTTTGTAGATTTTTCCTTGACTGAAAAGCATTAACAAAGTAAATATCTCCCCTATGGCAGGTTTATTGATGATGCATATAATGAGGGAATTCCACTGGTAGTGATAACTGCATGCAGAAAAAGTGGTAATGATATTGCCAGGTACTTTAGTTAGTTCCAACTGTTTGCTATGATCATGATGCTTAATAGAATTATATAAGCTGATCAGTATTAGGAGGGCATTTTTTTGAATCTACTCAAGTTCTTAGAAACCTAGCTTGCTTATTTGTTTACAAACCTTTTTTTCATTTGGTTTTTTTTCTTATTATTTTTCCGTCTTAGGGGTAAGGTGGTGTACTCTGTCATTGTCATATATGGTACATGTGATACGCATGCTTCACCTTTAAAAAGACTATTGGATCATAAAGAATGGTCTTACTTAATATTCTTGTATGATAAGATACACTTCTTGCTTATAATTCACTAATACAACTAAGACTACATCATTAGTGCATCTTTCGATCAATCTTTGTCTTTATGCTCTTTCTCTCTCATCTCCAACTTGAAATTCTCTCAAAATTAGAAAATCATCTTATTTTAGGGCTCAACTAAGGTTAGGGCAGCTGGTAGAGTATGAAAGTTTCCAATTGTTCTGAATATGAGAATAATTTTGTATTTTCCATTAATAGAGTTTCCAATAATTATTTTAGTTCTGAATATGAGAATATGAGAATAATTTCTAAGGTTAGGGCTCTATACTTTTGTTAGTTTGTTTTGATCCTGGTTTTGTGCTAGTTTAGCTTCAGCTTGCGTTTTTCTTTGCCCTACCTTTTCAGAATAATGAGTATCCTGATTTTTGCTTGCTTGATATTTTCAATTAATATTGATAGGGCAATTATAGAAAAGCTTGGTGATCAAAGCTCAAAGGTAATGATTGTTGGTGATAAGGAAGTTGAGGAAAGCATGTATGGCCGACTTATATCTAGGAATTTACTTTCTTCTGGTTTGGATGAACAGCTTTCCAAGGAAGCCAAAAGAGCAGGTGCATACTTTCTGACTTGCTAATGACGTATGTGTCCTTTGATACATGCCTTTTTTGTTTTTGTTTTTGTTTTTTGGTGTAGAAGGCTGTCTGGTGTGGGACTTAATTTTTGTACCTTTTTGGCCAGTTTCCGCAGAGAAACAAAGGATAGCAAAGGAGGTTGCCTCCATGCTAAAGTTGAGTGTTGAAATTGACACCACCTTATCTGAAAGGTTGGTTCACTTCATGTCAATTAGTTTTGTGTGTGTGTGTGTGTGTATAACACTCTTTATGCGCACAAGTTTTCAAACACTATATATATATATACACTTTATTTCACTCTAATGTCTTTTCATGCATTCTGTTAAGGATTCATACAATCAGAAGATCAAAAAATTACATGACTCAGCTCTGAAGCTGTTAATGGTGCTAGGTTCACTTGGAATCATAGTCTCTAAACCTTGGGGTATTGCATTTCCATTAAAGAAATTTTTCTGAAAAAGTAAGGAACAAAATGTTGTTAGATTTAGTGTGAAAGTTGAGTACCATACTATGACTTTATCTACATGTGACTTATTTAGCTGAAACAGTTGTTGTAGAAGTCTAAGTTCAGGAAATCACTCAGATGCTACTTATTTGCAATGATCAATCTAATCAACAAATGGTCCCCTATCCTATTTTTATGAGAGAACCAGGTATTTAGATATTGATTGTTATTTGTCGAAGATCATATGTATTACTACAATTGTCAAATGTCAATTCAAACAACTAATTGAAGGATATCCTTACGGAATCCTTTAGAGGTCCTCGAATCAATTTTATTTGTGACAAACTTGGTGTATGATAATGTTAGAATTAAGTGTTACAGAGTTGATCTGTATATCATCGAGTCTCCCATTGTATATTTTACCTGTTATGTAGCCTTTCTAAAGTATTAACTATTTTTCTTTAGTCTCTTCAGTTGGAGACTGGAAAATATTAATTGAACCTAATAACGAATAGATAATGGAACAAAAATCTGAAGGAATACTTTTAAGGCAATAGACACTATTCTATTTGTTAGGTTCATTTTGTTTTTAAATGAACATTTTCATGTTGAGATTTATTGCAATATGAATTACATTGTCAAATAGCAATCTATTTTCGTTAATTATGAATTTATAATTTGATTTGATGATCATCTGTGCAGTCTTGAAAAGATTGTAGCTGCAATTCGTGCGGGAGCAGAATATGCAGGATTACCTGTTTGCAATTGTGTCCTTGTTGCAGGGAGTAAATCTGGGGTTGCTGGAGCTGAAGTTGTAGGCATGCCATGTGTTGTTTTAAGGAGTAGGTGAGTGCTTTCTCTTTTATAATAAACATGTGATAATGGGTTTGCTTTATGCAGGTTTCAATTTTTTTACAGTTCCTCAATAGCAGACTACTCAATTTCACCCAAAATTGACATACCATCGGGTACATATCCGACATGTTTTTGGACACGTTAATATATATTAGGGAAAAAAAACAATGGAAGGCCTATAGCATGTATTAATGACGGTTAAAGAAAAAAGACTTAAAACCAAATTTCTTCTATCCAAAAAATAAAAATAAAAATAATGATCAAACTCTTCTCTAAGGCTATTATAAGTTATTGCAAATGTTTTTTGTGAGTTTCCACTTATTTTAAGTTATACCCTGATTTTTCCCAGTGTTACAAAAACCTTTTAAATTTGTTACTACCTTTAGATGAAAATTCTCGTAATATCTGAAAGATACCAAGTATTAACAGTTTGAGTGGTAACTTTAAGAAGCATCAATAATAAGTTATTTACATGTTTTTTTTTTTTAACATAAAGATTTAAACCGTTAACCAAACAGTATTACACACCCTCACCTCCCTTCACATGTTCTTGCCATATGAACTGGTCCAAATGGCAAGTTATTTTTATATTTTTTGAGAAGAACTGTGACTATAAAGTTCTTTAATTGTCATCAATATCATTTGATTCCGTAACTTCTTTTTGCTCATACTTTTTGGCTGGGATCCATGCTAGCACTGCTTGTACTCACACCTGAGATGACTTGAACAGGATCCAGACCCATCATTTAGAAAATAAATGTATGGGGTGTATTTAGAAGGAGATAAAGAAAAAATATGAAGTAAATAGAAAGAGTAGATCCGTTGCAAACTAGGACTTTTTTTTTTTTTTTGAGTCTTAAACGTATAAGTTATTGGAGAATATCCGAATTTCACTGGAACATGAGTGACATAGGTGAAAGACAAGGATCATGATTCTCTCCTTATATCTTCTTTAGTACGTGAATAATTTAGTTTACAACTTTTTTACTTGTAGTAACCTCCAGCTTACTTTTTGTTGTTATATGCAGCTTGACATCCAGAGCTGAGTTCCCTTCGGCAAATGCTATATTTGATGGGTTTGGAGGTGGAGATTTGACAATTTCTAGATTACGAAGTCTATCTGAAAAGGAAAAACCACGAAGTTAACTCTGGCAAATTTGTAGCTGCAAAGTTCGTTTTATGTTTAGAGGAAATTTTTGCTCACTAGAATTTGCGATGATGCAAAAAGGTTTATAATATCATCTCTTTTGTGTCAAGTGTTGAGTTGATCTCTGGTAATGGTAGAGGTGTACAGGGGCCCAAACCTGATCCGGCTTAATAACTTCAGGTTGCGACGGTTCAAAAATTGGAAAAGCGTAAATGGGTCAAACCTGGTTTAGAATTCCACTTTAATCCCTTCTGTACTCAGGTTTCTTCCTTATACAAAAGCGTATGGATGAGAGCATCTTCAGGTCTAAATGGTTCGTTAAAGTCTAAAATAATTCTCATCGTGTTGCGAAAGATATTGGGATTGTGGTGGACGAACACGATCATGAATCATGGTGATGAATAATTTTTTTTTTTTTGCTAACATGGATAATTATATTTTTGTTATGTTTTTTGATTTATGTCTTATAAGTATAGCTAATTAGTATGTTATGATATCAATTTTCATTTGTATGGAATAGTGTCAGGTATCACTTGGGTGTAAAAAAATTGTGAAACTTAGGGTGGGGAAGAAAACATTTAAGTGGGTTGATGGCTTAGCCTTTTCAACGGTTTGAATTGGGTTAGGTCCCAGCTTGTATAAAAACAGGCTGACTTCAACCCATCCCATTTTCTCCCAACCTATATGAGCCAATCCACAATCCGTGTTGGTCATATCCCCACATTTACTTATGAATTTTGACAGGCATAACTTGGTTGATACATTTATTTTGGGCATTGTGGTGAATCTACTTGACGAGGTATCATGATTATGTATAATTATGTTTTTTGTTTCAGCATATTTTTTGTCTTATTAGTATAGATAATTATGTTATGATATCAATTTTAATTTGTATTGAACATTGTAATGTATCATCGAGGTGTAATTTTTTTTTTTTTGAAATTTATAGGGAAAAAAGGTTAATTAAATTAGCTGGTTAGTCAATTTAATCCTGCAATCTGCATGATTTGGATTTGGTTGAAATTTTTCTAACCCATAGGAAAATGAGCTGATCTCAATTAAACCCATTTCCCCCCAACTTATATCAGCCAATTTCAAGTTTCATATTCCTACTTTTAATTACTTGTGAACTTTGATGGGCATGACATGGCTAATTCATTTATCTGGGGCATCTTAGTGAATTTACTAGATGATTATTATATTTTTATTTTGGTGTATTTAAAGTTGTCTTATTAGTATAGATAATTATATTAGGGAGAATTTCATTAAAGAATCACCAATGTGATATATTTACAAATCAAGCTTAAAACAATTTAAAATATTACTGCAGGATTTTTGGTCTGAATTGAAATTAAATTGTGTAGCAAAATGATTAAAATATTTCAATTAAAGTGAACCGGATACATAATAGATTTAACAAGTAATGACAAGGAATAAACAAGTAACATCACATGTCTAACAAGTTAATTACACTACTCAAAAAGTAACTTAACTAGTAATGATTTATTACAGGTTAAATATTTAATAAGTAACATAACATACTTAACAAGTAATAATGGGAAATTAATAACTAATATTATGTGTTTAATGAGTCAAATATTATTTAACAAGTAACTTAAATAATGAATTTATTACAAGTTATATGTTGAACGAGCAACCTAATGGATTTAACGAGTAATGATAGTGTAGTAACAAGTAATGTTACTCATCTAACAAGTAATGTAAGATAATTAACGACTAAAGTTAAGTCTTGTAAAGAAATTTAATTAAAAAAGGATATTTTAGTCATTTTACTTTACAGTTAAATTTGGGGTTGATTTATAAATATAGAAATATATTAATTATCTACAAGTATTAAAGAGATCAAATCACACGGCACAGGATTAGTCATGTAAAATTATCAACATATTAAAAAAGTTAAGAATTATATATCTTGTCATCGATCAATTTATTTTAGCTTTTTAGAATTTGTAAATAATGCTTCTTAATTTTATATGGACTCATGTTGGCAAATATATATATATATATATATATATATATTCGCTCTTTTATTTTTAAAATTTTAATTTAAAGTTTAATATTTTCCTTGAAGAGATTAAATTAGAAATAAAATATAGTATGATTTATGTTCATCTTAATCATTATACACTAAACTTGTTTTTAAATTTTATCATCTAAATAAGTTTCTGTTTCTCAAACTGGCTTTTAAGAAAAAGTATTTAAATATAAATCATGTTAAAATTATTTTTATTCTAACTTTAGTGTGTAAACTGAAATTCATTCTAATTTCAATTTTGCAATTTTTAATCCAAGTACATAAGGTAGAGTTTAAGGTAAGCTTTTAAAAATAAAGTTTTTTAACCCAAATATAAATTTAATGAAAATTGGTTTAACAAACATAGTTTGGGGCATAAAAAATGGCATAGAGACACCTCTAAATTTGGACACTGTCATCGGTCATCACATTAGCACTCTGCGTCCTTATCTTCAGATAGCTTTTCATGTCTCCCCATCTTAAACACGAAGGATGTAGCATTTTAATTTGGGAAAATACCATTTAACGACCCATGAATTTTTTTCTTTTTTGGAATTAGAAGAGGTTACAAATACACCAAAGGTACACATGTAACTAGGATCCAGAGAGATTCTCCTCTCATCATCCACCACCTTAACACAATAAGGGGACCCATGTAGTTTTTTAATAGTGAACAATGACTATATAATTCTAAAATAGCATTACACTCTTGTATGGCCTAACTAAAAATCAGACTTATGAAAGGAAAAAAAAAAAAAAACTTGATTACCCTCATTAAGTGAATGGAAAACACAACTCAATGAATGTCCATTTATTAATAACATACAATTACTTGTCAATACCTGAATAATTTCTTATTTATTCAATACTAACATTTACACAACAATTGCCTGTTCTATTGGGTTTTTTAAGTTGTCTATGAATAAATGGGTGCTTCTTACTTATATATGGTTACTTGTTAAAATCATAATAGTCGCGTGTTTATTAAGACCTTACACTTATACAATTAAAACTTGTCCTATCAATTTTTTTTTTAATTATACAAATGTTGGTTTTGAATAAATTACCATTCAAGTATTGATAAGACCCATATGTTAGTAATAGGTGAATACCCGTTCAGCTTTGTTTTCCATCCACTTGGGCAATCATGTGTTTCCCTCCTAACTCTATTTTTAGTTAGATTCTACTTCTAGGTACAGGGGTATTTCAGAATTATAAAAATCTCTTTTTAGGATTTGAAAGCTACTAGGGTTTTTAGGTGATATTTTCCATTCTAATTTTATAGGGAAATAGATTTTTTTTTCATATGAGCTAGCAATACACTGGATATTTTTTATTTTTGTACAATATTTGTATATATGTACAATAATTAAATAGTAAATTTTATATAAATAAAGTATATAATTAGGATATTAAAACTTGCAACTTGTTACTAACAGGCATTATTCCAAGTAGAATGAGTCATATAGCTATTTAAATATGAGGTTTCAAGTTCAAGTATGTGTAAATGCATAAAATATCTTTGGAAGAGTTACCTCCAATTAAACCTAACAATACTTAAATTTGAGCTAGTCAAATAAAAAAATTGCCAGTTGTCAAATACTATCATCTAATTTATTTACAATATAGCATGTATAAATACATTGAAATGTATCTCTTAGCTTCCCTAGTTATTTTATCCTTTTAAATTAAAGTCCAAGGTTAAGTATGTTACTTGATATAAATATTGGCATGGATAGGAGGGAGTACTCATGGGATGGGATTGTTTCAACCCTATCTCGTGTCCAATCATGAAAAATAATAAGGACTGAATTTTTACCCTGTATCCTATCTCTCCCATTTGAGATCGAGACAGAATAGGAAAATCACATAAAAAATGATCATGGTTAAATTTGAAGAAATAGTGGAAAGATTCTAGACATTTTTAATTTGTTTTACAATGCATATAATTTCTAGGGTAAACATAATTTTTGATCCTTATACTTTATTCACATTTTTCTTTTGATCCGTATACTTTTTTTGTATTTTAGGTCCCTACACTTTTATTTTTTATTGTTTTAAATCCTTTCAAGATCCCTATACTTTGCTTATAGAGGGACAAAAAATAATAGAAAACAAAAGTGTAAGGAGCTAAAACACCGAAAAAAATATAGGGGCAAAAAAGAAAACGCGTATAAAGTACAAGGATCAAAAGTTATGTTTCATCTCACAAATCAATAGAATTTTTTATCAAATAAATTGACTATGTCCCGTGTGCTTCATCATTCATGCCATCAATATTTTTTAATTTAATCTAACAACATGAATCTTCTTAATTTTTTAAGAAAATATATATAACAATGTAGACAAATATATATGTAGTCTTTGAGTATAAAATGAACTAAGTTAAGTGATTAATTAATATTTAGTATGAATATGTGTCATATAACTTGTTCTTTATTTTTTCTTTTAGTTGAGTGAAAAAAATTCAATCTTTCAAAGCTCAACCTTAAAAAACTTTCAAGCTTATTCAAGTTGGAAGTTAGATTGCACTAATATTATCCTTCAAGTGTGCCATTAATTTTTCCTATATTAGCGAGATAGTATCATATAATTAATGCTTATTATGAAACATTTAATATAATGACACTACAAATTACCATATACTACTTATTTTTTTAATTAAGTATGCATTAGTTTAATTATTTGTTTCATTTTTAATTGACTTACTCTATAAACAATGTAAACCATTTAGAAAATATTTATATATAGTTACATTTACAAATTAATTAATATTATTTTATTTTAATTCTTTTTATGAGCCAAATTCAATTCTTATCTAAAAAATTAAGATTGTTTGAGTAACATAACACTACAATGAACCTTTTTCTATCATTATTAAAATGAGACAAGTATTGAAAGAATAAAAATGACAGCATATGAAGTAACCTCTTATGTTTATTTTTCCTTAATATTTTTAAAAAATATTCAAAACAAATAATTATCATAACATTAAAACTTCATTTAGGATTACAAATTGAAAGTTCAAGAGAGACTATATGAATGTTAAGTAAAAGTTAAAATGAAGGTTAATTTTATTTTATTAATAATTAAAAAAGCATTTAGGGATTTGAGCTAAGTCCATTTAGGTTTAAACTCAAAGTAAAGTGAATTTTCTAAACTCTCAATCCCAACCTTAAAATTTTTTAAATTTATTCAGGTGGACCTACTAAGTTTAGTTTGAATTACAAGCTTTAATTGACTTCAATGCATTTTCCTGTATAAATTTTCATACAT